GTCAGAATTAAAGACTTAACTTTTTCCTCTCCTGTTTACATAAAAAGCTGGTTTGTTTGAAAAAAGGATCAATCCAGCCTGCCAATAAAGTGGCATTTAGGAACTGTAATGGTAGTTGATGCCCACAATGACCACCTGTGGGGAGGTAAAAAAAAACCAAAAAAACAAAAAAAACAAAAACGCTGAAGGGCTTTTGTGATTGGTAAAAATAATAATAATAATAATAATAATTTGTTTGGTCAAGTTTACTTAACCAGACCTCCTTAATACCCAAAAAAACAAAAAAAACAAAAACGCTGAAGGGCTTTTGTGATTGGTAAAAATAATAATAATAATAATAATAATAATTTGTTTGGTCAAGTTTACTTAACCAGACCTCCTTAATACTAATAATGCTGCAAAGCATTTGGCAAGCACTAGGACACAATGCTAAAAGTGTTGGAAAGGTAGACTTCCTGCAACATTTTCATGGACTAGTAAGTTTTTCTTTTTTGGTAGTAGCTTTCGAGACTATTACTTTCCTATAAGGCCAGGGTGCCCTGAGTACTAGCATGCCTGACATGTTTGTGGTTGTCCTTTCCTTCATAACACTTCTCACAATCCATAATTTGTTTCTTATCGGTTTCCCCCAAGAGGGCAGGAACCTTGTCTATTCTGTTCATTGCCATACACTCAGTACTTAATAATGTCTGGCACATGTAAGTGTTCAATAAATATCAGTTGGTTGACTGAACCAATAAATGTAGTCGAACTAGGGTGAAAAAAGGAAAAAAAAAAAAATCCTCACCAAAAAAGATTGATGAAAGGGAAGAAAAATAAGCAACAGTTCCATCAATTGGGGTAGACTTGATGACAAAAAAACTGTCATCATTCAACAACTGATGATATTTGTTTGGAGATTCAAAATACCTGGAAGATTTCAACTGAAAGTTAACATAAAACAGTGTTCTCTGTAAGATGCATTTACAAATAAGTTAATGAAAACTTTACTATACCAATATGTAATAAAACTTTATGGTTTTGTTTGTTTCAAGATGGAGAAGATTCTGAATATACCAGGTGAATGTCTAGAGTCCCATAGAGGGAGTGTAACACACTAAGGACCTTTTCTTGAATGGCATCAACTTGCTCAGGAGGACAGTAATCATCCATACTTGACCTGGAACCAAGAAGAGAAAAAGAAAAAAGAAAAATATTCATAATTTGGATAAAATCATACTGTGCAGTGAGGAAAAGGCTGCATGTGTTCATTTCGATGTAAAACAGGAATGAAAGTGTGCTGAATTTTGGAATTCAGTTGAAAGCTACTAAATGTTTATAGTCAAGTACTTTACATGTTACGTTCTTTAATATTCTCAGCAACTTTGTAACATATGTACAATTACCATCCTTTTCATAAAGGAATCTGAAACAAAGAGAGATGAACCTGTACAAGGTCACATAGCTAGTAAGTGCTGATGACAGGTTCAAAACCATGAGGCATGAACCTCAGTGCTTAATTGCTAGAACATGTTTCCCTTGAGAGAGATGTTGCTTGGGAATATAGGGGCTTATTATCTCAGCGACTGGGTATCTTTCTTATTCTTTTATTATGTGTGTGCTAGGGCTAGAAATGCCTAGGGTAGAGGTTTTGCAACTGATAAAAGGGTTCTACTTCCAACAACAATTTGTTAACTACATAAATGTAAAGGATCCATGGTTTGATCCAAAATGAAATGTGTGGATGTGCTGGTGTGATGGTGTTGGTATTAGTTTCCTAGGCGGAGTGGAGTGGTGGTGTGGGGCAGGAAACAGCATTCTGAGAGTCTTTCTAGAACTCACTAAGGACAACTTTAGTTGTACTGGGCAGCTACAACATTACTGCCAATTACGGTGGGATTTAAGATGTGAACTGATTTGAGCAGTGTCTCTTGGTTCTGAACTGGAGTGAGAAAAACCATTTAGATGACAGAGAGGAGTGCCATAGAAATCTTTATAGAAGAAATTGGAATTATATAGTTATGTAGCCTATTTCTTAGTATAAGAACTTTACACCTAAAGAAATAATCTAAAGACCTGTGATAAACTCATTCCTTTCTATGGTGACAAGGTTATTTTTAAGGCTTGATGTAAAAATTTAAGACACAATAAATGATATAAAGCAATTTTAAGTTATTAAATACTAACACATACATACGGATAAAGACCTACTTTAAAGTACCATATGTAAGAGCTTAATTTATGAGCCTTAACGAGAGGTACTTCAATCCTTTCAAAAAGATTTTTGACTTCTTTTAAAGAGGTTGTTTAATGATTTGAAAAATCATGTCATTATGGTATTTGGCCAATACAACACATGGGTATCTCTCTGCATTTGTAACTGCTACATTTAGTGACTCTTAGTAAAGATGCAAGTCTAGTAAGGCATTTTAATACAATATTATTTTGTCATCAATTACTTTCACTTCCCACAGATCTGGCCAGTTAGTTGGTTTCAGCATGATGTTGGTAACATCAATTCCAAGGGTTCAGATCCCCGTACTGGCCAAAACATAAAAAACAATTACTTTAATTTCCCCCTATGTTATAGTGATATTTTGTGCACGTACATACATACACACAAATTATGTGCATAGGTAGGCTATATTACCTATATATTATGTATATCATATATTTAAATTATGTGTGTAGGTAGGTTATATTATCTATAAATTTTCTTTCAGGGTGGTAAAAGGATGTTACAAAATATCGCTCATAAAATATTATATAAATACTCTTTTATTAGCCTGAGTATTTAAAGTACTTACTTTAGAATCTCATACTTCCATATAAAACCAGTGCAAAGATTAACATAGGAAAGAAAGTTTTATTAAATTGTTGTTAACTATTCAGCAATTATGTCCAAATTTAAAACATGATGGCAGCTAAATATTCACTTGTAAGACAAAGAAATGAGAATTTTTGTGTTTACCTGAGTATAAAATTCAAAGACAAGATAGTAATAACTGTACATTGTTTGCCTACCATTACTAATAGGAAAGAGAAAATACAACCTCTGAATTTTGAGCTAAGTGGGTAAAAATATTGGTAATATTACTGTATTAGTAAGCATTAGATTCACCTACAGAGACTATATTAGTTTCCTAACTGCTGCTGTAAAAAAATATCACAAACTTACTGGCCTAAAGCAACACTAATTCATTATCTTAGTTTTGGAGGACAGAAATCCTAAAACAAAGGTGCTGGCAGGGCTGCATTCCTTCTGGGACCTAGGGGAGAATCTGTTCCTTTGCCTTTTCTGGATTCTAGAGGCTGCCTGCATTCCTTCGCCTGTGGCCCCATCATCCATCCTTGAAGACAGCATGGTAGCATCTTCCAAGCTCTCTTTCTCTGATTCTGACCCTCTGGCCTCCCTGTTTTAAGGACCCTTATGATTAACACTGGGCCACTTGGATAATCCAGGATAATGTCCTCATCTCGAAATTCACTCTGCAAATAATCACTCTGCAAAGTCTCTTTTGCCATATAAGCTAACATATTCACATGTTCCAGAGATGAGGTGGACATCTCTGGTGGCCCATTATTCAGCCTCCCACACTTACCTTGCGATTGTCACAAGAGTAGGTTTTGGTAAATTTTTTAGTAAATAATACACAGACTGAATAAGATACTCTATTTCTTGTTCTGTGCTGATATGGTGAGGAAGTTCTGAATAATCACAGGTTAGACCAGCCTGGTGAACCTGAAAATAGACCATTAAAAAATACACTGTAAGACTTTCTTGTTTTTAAAAGACTCTAATCACTAATGGCCTTGTTGACAAATCTTTTAATTTTTTAATATTTTTATGCATTGAGATTTTTTTCCTCCTTAACAATTTCTATGTCATAGAAGTTATCTGGTCTCTGAAGTGTTGGTAGAACTGGGCTGCACACCTGTCTGGGCCTGATGCCTTTATAGGAATAATTCTTCACTTTTTAAATTCATTTTATGATTACTGATTTACTTAGTTTCTCTGTCTTTACTTGAGTGAATTTTGATAATTCACACTTCTTAGCAAATTATTTACTTCACTCAGATTCTAAAAAGTTGAAATAAAACTGTACATGATATTCTCACCCCATTTTTTCTTTTAACACATTATTTTATTTACTTTTTAAATACATGCACCTAGTACAACATTCAAAGCTCTGAGATGATCCAAGAGAAAATCTTTGTTCTACCTTACTTAACTACTGTTTATTTTCTTATGTATCCTTTATGCATAACTACTGGTATCTGTATATGTATTTTATTTATTTACTCTTTATTGAATCGTAATTGATTATACATATTTTTGGGATTCAATGCTGACATGTTGATCAAATCAATATTACTGGTATGTATATTGTTACAAATTGTACTTATTCTTTATGCTCCTTGTCCATCTCTACCTATCTGCCTCTCTTCCCCTTCCCACCACTGATAACCCTAGATTTCTTCTCTTTCTCTGAAAGAGTAATGGTTACTCTGTTGATTTGTTGCGTAGATGATCTGTCCAATGCTGAGAGGTGTATTCAGGTCCCCCAATATTATCACAGAGCAGATGCTTCTTCTGTCACTCTGGAATGGGCTTTGTGGAGAGAGACATCTTTTATTTGGTCTCTGCTGCTGATTCTCCTGTGTCAATGCACTCCAGGGGCTGGTGGACCATCTGCGTGGTAGTTGTAATGTCTAGCCACTTTTGCAGCAGCTGTGGTTACTGTGGTGTGCCACCCACATGGAGGTGATGTTTTTGGCATGCTCCTTGGTGCTGGTGGTATGTCTGGTTGTGGGTGGGGGTCTGGTCCCAGGCTCGGTGCCCTGGGCCCCAGGGCGGGCCCCAAGGTGCTAGCAGTGTGCCTGGCCCGGAACTAATTTTTTGTCCTTTGCTTACTTCTAAAACAGGAGAACTTCCTGTGGGAACCAGTATTTGAGCTGTGGTGTTGAGCTAAATTGCTGCTTTGCTGCTGTTTCCCTAGAGAAGGATATTGTGCAGCTCAGGGATTAATGGTTGACCATATAGGTACTTCCAGCTCTCCAGAGACCTGGGGCACCTGGGTTATGTAGAAACTCTGATCTGGGTCTGAGTTTTTTTATCAAACTGTACCCCATGCAATTCTGCATTCGCAACCAGTCTCCTCTCAGTGGCCCTGCGCTGACTGGGGGCAGATCGGCTGTCCTTGCTGTGTCTTAGTGTTCTTCCGATGGGCTCATCTCCCCCACTGCCCATGCTCCAAACACTTCCCACGGGATGGGTGTGTGCTGGTCCCTTGTGATGACTCACCAGCCTCTAAATGCCTCTCCTTTTCCAGCTGTTCTGGCTCCTTGCTCCTGTGTGGTTCCATGGGAACCCTATTAGTGAACCCCTTCTCCCCTGCCACCTCCAAGCAACTACATCTGAAAGGCACAGCTGCAGTTTCTGCTGGCTCCTGCTCCATGCACTCAGCAGCTCCAGCCTTAAAGCAGCCGTGGCCTGAAACACTCCGAGCAGTTTTTTCTTTCTCTCATTGTGGTTTCTCCTGCCTTCATGAACTCTGTAGGTCTCTCCTCCTCTTCCCCTGAGCTCCAGAGGCCCCAGCTTGGCTGTTGTTACATATTTATAGTTGTAAATTGGTTAATTTGTGGGAGAGAGTGACTCTGGGGACCGTCTATTCCAACATCTTGCTAACCCATCTGTACATGTATTTTTTTTTTTTCCTTTTTTGTCTTTTTTACTGACCGGTAACGGGATTGCAACCCTCGGTGTCGCGCCCGTACCGGGGACCGGCAACGGGATCACACCCCTCGGTGTTGCGCCCGCCCCGCGCTCAACCAGTGAGCGGGAACCGGTCTCCACATGGGATCCGAACCTCAGCGGGAGCGCCTCCGTGCTCCCAAGCAGCGCACTCTCCAGTGCGCCACCGGGCTGGCCCTGTACATGTATTTTAAACGTAAATCAATGGTGTTCCAGTCTTAGCACTAATCTCAATATACCTAAAAGCTAGAACTGGCTAACAGTCTATCATTCTGCAACCTCAGCTTTAAAGTTTTGAAAACTGGAACTCAAATGTTAAAGTTTTCCTAGAATACATAAGTGCAAGGCATGAAAGAACATGCTAATCTTCTATTTTATTGTTAGTTTTGAATGCACACGAAAGATTTAATGGGCTATGATCAGTCAACACAGTAAAATGACAGATTCTGCATGCTCTTTTTTA